TCCTGGGTAGTTCTCAGCGGGGAGTTATTCCATAACTGGAGGACCATTGAAAAAACCTTTCTCCATGTTGCCACCAATCAAGCCTACCATAAAGGTGGCAGTTAGAGGCAGTCTTCATAGCTTGATTGTACTAACCAGATAGCAATCAAGAAAGGCACTTCATCAGATTGTGGTTCCAAGCTGTATAGGGCGGAAGAGCTCAAAAACCAGCACCTTGAGTTGGACTTCAAATCATATAGGCAGCCAATGCAAGCTGTCCAGAGTTGGTGTTATGTGGTCTGACTGTCTGCTCCTTATTATTAATCTGGCTGCCATGTTTTGTACAAACTTTGGTTGCACAAACCTTTCTGAATACCTTGTCAACATCCTTGAGCTGTACTATTTGGAACTCATTAAATAAAAAACACCCTTGATCAGGCTGTGCACTTGATATCACACCTGATTCCATTGCTGCAACATTGGATTCTAAGTCCTGGTGGATGCAAGACAAATGTATTATAGCAGGCTTCAGATGCTTCCAAGAGGCCCTTGGGGCCAGCATGTAGTAGATGTCAGACAACCCTAGAGAACTCTGTTGGCTGGAAGATTGAATGCAGGCAGACAGAGATTGCTGCTTTGCCTCTCTCACTGTCTCCAAATATATTCGACTACAGACGCATACCAGGGCTTGTTTGTATCCACTAGGAATTCTTTTTCATTTGCACTCTAGCCATCTCCTAATTTCCTCATAACTCTCAGCTCTAGGGTATGCCATGGAGGTATACAAGCTGTACTACAGAAAGAGCACTTAGGAGCAATTACATCAACCACCTGGATCATCTCTGTTTCAGAGGTTTGACAGGACCACCAGCCGTATCAGTCTGAAAGTCCCACAAGAGCCCTTTGGAAATCATTTGGATCCATCAGCTTATTGGACAGACCATCTTAATGGGTCTTCCACCCCACAGAGGGAAAAAGGTACCATTAGTCTAAATCTCAGCACAAGGTATCTGACCCTAACAAAGGGGCCAGTTTGAAGTCTCTCACCCTCAGTTTACTGTCTCCACATCCAGCTGAAAAAAGTGTGCCCTGCTACATGTGTTGGGCCAATGACATGTTGGGACAGCCTCATGGGTTTCATGGAGTCCATGAAATCCCAAGCTGCCCCAGTTAAGGTACCCTCAGCATGGATGTTAATGTTCCTTAGAACCAACAGTCTAGGGGACCTCAACATTGCAGCTGAGATAACCTCCGTCATCTCAGGTAAGGACTGTTGGGTCACAGGGCGGATGATACACCAAACAGAATTCCCAGTCTGTTCCATTGACCAGTACAAGATCAAAATGCCCTACACTAGGTATCCCGAAGAGAGGAAGCCTGGAGGAATAGAGAATTCCTATCGACCATGGCAGCATTCTCCCCACCCCATCCAGTTTTCCCTGATGTTGTATCAAGTACCTTAATGGGTAGAGCTGAATATATTAAAATTATTCCAGATTTAGCAGTGGGACTTAAAAATATAGAGATTTTCTAATATAGTTGCTATGTGCAACAAAGATTCGGTGATCCTCTATACTCTTATATTCAGCTAGCTTCTACTGAGCTCTGTAGGCCAAGTTGCTGTCCTTAGAAGTGAGCAGAGAGTCATGTAACCATTAAGTTCAGTTAAGTCTAAAATTGCCAAACTCTGTTCTGGAATTATCATGGACAGGCCATAGTTCTGCAGGAAAGACAATGCTTTGTATGCAAAAAATCAATTTTTGGTATTTCCATTTAAGAAGCTGACTATTATTTGAAAGTTGAAATATCCTTTACTTCATATAACAAAATCTGAGAATTATGTGAGTGCTCTGAACACTGCTATTCAAAAACCTGTTCCTCTTGGATCCATTCTTTGATACATATGTTACCACTGAGATATAGATTAATTAATCTGTCAAGCACCGTATTATTTTATAGGAAGTCAGTATTTGCTTTTGAATTTATTTTTATTTGCTTGGACATTTAATTAATTTGTGGGCATCTGAGAAAGGGCGGGGAGGAGTTATGAGTCAATAAACTGATCTTTTTGGAAGATTTGGGGCAATAATTAAGCAGCTAGAGATTGTGCTACAAGTGCTGGAATTTGACATTTAGGAGCAATACACTCCATTTTTTTCCTAAGAAAGAATTAATTTCCACCTATGAGGTTTGTGCATATGGTAGCCATGGAATTGCTTTAAGTGGTTTATAGCAAAGCACGAGGCATTTTTGAATTTTGAATCTGAATAAGTTAATCAGATGTATGTTACTCTCACTGTTGCCAACCCATTTGATTCAGAACTAGTTTAAAATAATATTTGGGCAGTAGAACAATTTAGTAATCAGTTGCAAAAAAGTTTCTTCTGCTATAACATTCAAATTTATATTACATACAGAAACAACAACCTCTTGAGGGCACTTTAAGAATATCTGCAAGTGATAAAAGTATTGTGATAAGAATTCAATAAAGAAATTGCTTAGTTGCACTCATCGCCTCACATTACATATTCTCAGTGCTGAGTTTCAAGTGAACAGGAATGTAAGGACTTTTGGAAAAGCATTTATGAAAAGTGGAATTACAGCAATTGTGGGACAATTACAGTCCTTGTTACCCAGTATCTACTTCCTGTAAAAAAACACCCAAGATTGCAGAATGTATGATAAACAGCACAGACAAAAAGTCATTTAAAGTAAGATTTATTCTCCCAGTTGAGTGCCAGCAGACCAATTGGATGATTACAGTTATATTAACCTGTCTGTTAAATTGTGTCCCTGTTTCATTTGCAAAGCTCCAGGTATCAGAGTTATAAGTACTTATAATTCCATTTATCCTATCAGTAACCTTCTAAGGAAGCAGTAAAAAATGCACTAGGGAGAGGGTGGGATAGCCCACACTGTAAGTACACATTTTCTTTTCAATACAAATTCAACTATAAAAGTGCCTAATAGTTTAAGACCAGTCTTGAGGCTCTCTCATGTTGATTCAAGTGCCACAAAGCCAGAATATAAGAAGCTGAGACCTAAACTGCCACAGATAATGTCACAAATTTTGCCTGCTTACAGATTACCTTACACACTCCCATATCTTTGATCTATAAAGACCAAAGACAAGACCAACTTGTCCTGGTCCTGTTTTGCCTTATGAAGCATCTAGCCTCCAGGTACTTAGGTAAGTAATGAACTGGCATGGGTCAGTCAACTCAGAGGAGCAAAACAATAAAATGTAGGTACTTTCTATAACAGGTCAACACAACAGGAACAGACAACATGTGGCATCTTTGCTGGTCTCAGCCACTCCATATAGATTTCCTCTTTATAGGCTTGCTAGGTGATTCATGGTGGACGTTTTGCTTGTGTCAGCTCCTGCAGAGTCCCATCTATTAGCAGCACTACAGCAGGAGTTTTGTTTGGGGACACCTGCTCCAAGAAATTACCTCACCTCTGCTATATGCTAGGTACTGGCAATCATTGCTGTTGATTATAATTAAAACTTCGTTCACTTTGTCTATGTACTGTATCTTTATAGTAATGTGTTATTTTATAGTTTGTTGTAAACTGTTTTGGGACTTTTCACAGTAGAAAGTGGAATATTATTGAAATAAAACAACAGTGATTGTAGATGCTGAAGTATACTTTGGTGGGGTTTCCATTAGAATCTGACCTCATCCTTTCATTACCACACGACTAACTAGCATGGCCCACTCAGATACCTAACAGAGATAGATATTTGTGGATGGTCCAAAATAAAGGGGAACATTGCAGAGTTCCAGATGGCAAATTGGAAAAGGTAGGAAGCAAGATTTAGAAAAGGATTTAAGAAACTTCCCAAATATACTTGATATAACATGCTTGGGAGTAAAATCTAATTTCAGAGATTTTGCTTGTTGGCCATATTTGTACTCATTTGCACATTAAGTGAAAACAATGGTCAATGGTAAACAGGAACCTTCTTTGAACTACTGATTCTAAGAGCTAATAGTTAATAGTCCCAGAATATACATTGCCAAAAGATTAGACTTCTGGTCAAGACTGTGCATAGAAAAACTGACACTAGATCATGGGGATAGGATATGGTGTCTAAAAGGCTTTTGTAAGTGTACTGTTGTATAATTATTCTACATGCCATATTGTCATGTCAATAAAAACAAACACTCAGGAACATAAGCATCATAAACAAAGGGAAATATAGGGGAGTTCTCCAATGGTTTAAGATGGAAATGTGAGCATAGGGAGAGCTGTCAGAGAAATTTAGCACTGGCTAGGGCACCCATCTTCTCCCACTTGAAGAATGTCAGTTACAAGTAAGCAACCTTACTTTACTAGTCATGAGTAATATATTACCTGAAGCAGTATGCCTTTCAATGACCTGTTTTACACAATACGACAACTCACTGTGGATCAGCATCCATGATGTGTTGTTTTGTATGAACCCAGCACAGTTTCTGCAGGCTGGCTTACTTTTCATGAATAAGCCACCCTGAAAATCCATGGCTTGCTTTAGGGTTGCTGGTACCCATGTTATCTTGTGTTGTCTGAACCTAGCAAGGTATTATCATCATGGGCTGTTGAGAATGGCTATATATCCACTAGTTGTCATAAAAAAATGAGGTAGAACCTTAGGAAATGATAATAGGTATTTTTCAGTGATTATTTTCCCAGTGCGGAATATTGTCCTCAGAGACACTCAGATAACACTACACTATTAGCTTTTAGACATTGGGGAAGATAATTTTATACATCTGAATATTTTATGGAAAGTGTGTTGCTCCTGTTTATACAGTTTTTATTGTTACTTGGATTCAGCTTTTGTTGATCTTTAAATGCTTTAGTTGACTGGCTTGGAAACTTACCTTGACTAGTGGAGTTAAAAAATAATTTTTAAAAATTGCTGAGGCAGGTTATAGGAATAATTTATTTATAGGAATATTTTAAATGTGCTTCCTGTAAATAATCATAGAAAATTGAGAATATTTATTTTATTCATTTTTGTTTTATTACAGATCGGTTTACACAGTACAGTGCTAAAAACCTTAGGCAAGCCTGGAATAAGTAAGTCTTTTAAATAAAATACTCTCTCCTTGTTTATGATGTCTTACTAATTACTGTTTCTTATTAGGAATACATACAGGTTTGATCCCTGAAATCTCCAAGTAGAACTGGGAATGTATCTGCTCCACCCTGGATAGCTGCTGCTAGTTAGTGTGAATGATAACTAGGCCGAATGAACTTACTGTGTGATTCTGTAAGAGGCAGCTTCCTTTGTTCTCACTATATATGGGACATTGTACTTCACCATATTATTTGACAATATTGGGGAGAACTCTGAGGAAATACAAGAATGGAGGACATATATCCATGCTGAATGGCTGACACTGGCAAGTACTCAGGATAGAAGTGCCGTACACACTGATGATGTGCCTTACCTTGCTCTTCTGTGCACCGCATCTTAACATGCCCTTACTAGTGAACTGGCATGAAATTGGAATAGCATATAGATAGACCATGTGTCATGGATTCCTCTAATATTGGGATGGTGGCTGTCATGGCTTCTTAAGGCATTTAAAAGATCCTCTGATATTAATGGGCATGGGTATTCTACCATGTAACATACGTTGCTTTCTTTGTACATTTGTCTGGGAATGAGGTGGAATAGCAGAACAAGATAGATATATTGAGTTATCATCAGAATAGTTCCAGTTAAGTTTTTGCATGTGCAGAATCTGGAGGATGGGGTGACTGTATCTTTAATCTTTGGCTTCTCTTTTCTTATTTTGTATGGGTTTTGTATGTCAATAGACATGAATAATTTCAGAATTTAGAAAGTTGCTATCAAGGTTTTAGTTCTGTTTTCCTTTCAAGTTGCTTCAATCCATTCCAAGTATTAACAGGTCTTGAATGTTAAGGACTGAATCATGATCTGATAAGCAGGGAATAAATAGAGACTGCTGTATTTTCAAAGTAAATTCTGATATTTGGTACCATGAGAGCTTTTTTAGATGCACTTCCTCTGGTTTTATTCAACTGTGGCAGAATTAAAGGAACAATTTGGACACTTGGGGGAGCACTTGAGTTAGTTCTGTAGCTGCGTTCTAAAAATGGCAAACAGTGAATAGTCTTATTTGTCACCATGTAATAATATTATTTTTATTTCAGTGAGGAAATACATCCATAATCCACTTTGTATAATAATTAAGTGCTGCATATAGAATAAAACAGTTCTTCCAAAATCTACAAAGAACTTGAAACAACCATTATTTTATGGCACAGTAACATGACTAAGATAAAACACACTTTCACTTTTCCACTCAGGTGTTGGCAATTTTCCATATGTTAAGTGACCCAAATAAAAATGAAGTCTATGGAGAATTGTATGGTTATATAAGCTTCACTCATTAGTATTCTAAATTACTTGAATTATTTTATTTTTTTGCTCTGCTGCTTGCTAGATAGCTGTATCATAAATCATTTTGTTGAATAGGCTGCAGAATAGGAAGCTAGGCAATACTGAGACCATTGTGTCATAATTTAATATCTTTGATATTTCTAGCATGAAAAGGCTTGATTTGAATTATCTTTTCTGGCTCCATGAACCTCCCCTTCCATCCTGTCTTATATACCAGATTCAGCATTTCATTACTGGTTTTTATTATGTCAGAATTCCCTGTTACATGTGCATGAGGCAATTTTGACTTAATGTCAATCTGATCCTAACTTTCATCCTTGTTTGTTAGCTGAAATCAAATCAGACTTTCTTGGTTTGGACATGATGGGAAACAATGCAAACTAGGAATGAAGCTAGTTCTCATGTTCAACAGTTATTCCTAGCCATAGTGCTGAACTAGGCACATTTCAATACTGCACTGGAATTTTCTGAAGTTCCCTGCATGTTAAAACAGGAGATGGTCACTCAGCAAAAACCCACATGTTGAAGTGGTCACGTGGCCAGCAATAAGGGAGAATATTGATAGTTTGTAGGCTACAGAAGATGTAGGAAGGTTGTTGTTGTAGTTGGGATGTTTGGGCAAGCATCTACATAGAAGAGAATAGAAAGGAAAAAGTGTGGCCTATGGATCCAAGGATCTATAAGATCATACCATATTGTTCCTTTTTTCTTATCCAGCAGTTAAAACAATGCTAAGTAGTGTGAGTCAGGATAGACAGTCATTTCCTTCAGTCTAGTTTTAATTTTACTTTTGTTCTACACTTGTAAAAATCATGTTTTGTGATTAGTATCTGGATAATAGTGAAGCTATTCCTTTTATATGTGACCAAGTTGAATTGCCATTTTTGTTACTTTATTTGCCTATTGCTATTCCATATATAAGAAAATTTAGAATAATTCCGTACAATGAAGTACTTAATAAAACATCATCGGTATCAAAGCATTCAATACTGAGCCAGTGTGGTACAGCATTGGGCTTCCCCCAGCAGCCATCCTTCAGCAGGTGGTGCACAGGGCGGTGCCAGTGGGTATCACCGGTTTGGTGCCTGTTCAGTACCATGCCCTTTGGAGGGGGCGAAGACAATTATTATACCAACTTTTAAATTTTTTGTTTTATTAATGTACTGTTGGTCTTATTTTATTTTATTGTACACTGCCCAGAAAACCCTCTGCGCTTTGGGGTGGTGTGCGTGTGTAGAATAAGATTGAGAGCAGGAGGAAGATGTAAGCTGCTTTGAGTTCTTTAAAAAGCAGGGGAAAAGGTGGGATATAAATAATGCAGTTTCCGTAAAAAACAAAGTGAAGCACACTCTGGACTTAAGAATCAAAAGCAACAATGAAATGGGGTCTTCCTGAAGACTTTCAGAGGAAGGTGGAGCCAGTTGTTTGTTCTTAGTCCCAGCTGTTAGTTGAAACAGGTAAAATGTCCTAAGCAGCAAATAACAGAGCTCCTTGTCTTATAAAGGCAAGAAACATAGGTGTATCTTCCATATTATTCCATCAACAATATGTAAACTAATATGTATGTTACAGGTGTTCCATTACAAACCCAGCCAACCAGCTGTAATTATAATCTGGGGCACATTTTTTCTGTGTTCACAACATGCAAATGAAGCTTCTTGCTGAATTTCTTTTTCCATGACCGAATGTACTACATGCTGATTTCTTGCTATTTTCTGTTAAAATAGCTGTTTGGATGGTTTTGATTTTTTTCTAGACTTATCTCATTCAATTTCCTTCCTTCCCTATTTTCTATAGGCATGTTTGTTACACTCTTAGTGAAAAGTTTGGAATTGGTCCTACTTTAGTATTATCACTGAAGTAAGTTCACAGTATAGCCTTTTTGTCCAGGTTATTAATAAAGATGTTAAATAAAACTGGATAACACTAATCCCTGTACCACACAGCTGGATATTTCCCCTCTGAATCAATTGATTCTCTTTATCTTTACTCTTCATTTATGGTTGTCAGCCAGTTTCCAGTCTGTGTGACTTATCTGAGATAATTTGAGTTTCTCTGAAAACAAAAATATTTAAGGAATTTCTTAAAAGGAAAATTGCTGAAAACTATTCCTGATACTTGCTGCTTTTTCGTGATTTCTTCATTATGTTTAGATAGTTTTCTTGATTTATGTTGATGACATTATTTTTATGGGAGCAGCTTGGCTTTTAATATTGGCCAAACTGTTCTTGCTTTCAGGGTTGAAAATTTGAGCAGTACTACTGCAAATAAGGGATGGTTGTTATGAATTTCAAATTCTTCAGTCCCACTCCACATTTTTTGTTTGGTTCTTTTAATACAGCAGAATTTAAACCCAGAATTAACTATAACTTGGGAAGCAACAAAGATTTGAGTGTAACCACTTGGTTTTAGTAGCTATATGCTGTAGTCAGTGTTCTGTAGTTTCCCTCCAAATTCAAGTCCAACGAGATTACTCCATTGCTATGTTCAGGAAACACGATGGCTTAAATTTAACTTATGGCTGCCACTGCTGTTGATGTTCCTATAGTAACAGAGCTCTGATGATACTGTAATTACTGCCTAATACAATAAGGGGAAATGGTAAATCATTTTGAAAGGAATATTGTATGTCACAACTGTTTGAAGTTTCCATATTGCCTTTCTATGGTCTTTCAAGTATGTACTATAGAAAATAGAGACTCCACAAAAGCAAATTAGACCGTTGAATCTGATGGTGAGTAATTGAAGTAAGAATGGAATAACTGAAAATATTCAATCCTATAAAGATCATAGAAATAATTCCTGCTGGCACTGGGCTGTTTTAAAAAGTCATACAAGCAATTTTGGGTAATCAAGGCATTTGTTAGACCTTGTTGACAGAATGTGCAGTTGTACTTCTTTGCACTGCATTCAAATAGACTGTTGCCAATTCAGCAGTGTACTATGAATAAAGCAATTTCCCATAGTATTGGTCCACCTGTCATTGCTGGAGGGCATATAAGCAAGTGATTCCAAAGGGAGCTGACCTTTTTCTTCTAGGCATTGAGTCAATTTCATATCCTAAGGCACAAATTCTGTGTGAAAGCTGTTATACCTCTCATTGCATTGGGCTTTAAAATGTTTTTTTGCTGCCACAGTAAGAACCTAATAAAAAACTGAAACATCATTAATGCTTTATAGAGAACAGTTTTTCAGATAGTTGTGTAATGTCAGTTTGCTTTGATCACATTACATTCAAATTTGGGCTTTGAGTAAAGCCTATGGAACGGTTTTCTATTGGTCAGTTGCCAGCCCAACTACTGGTTGCTAATCAGCAGTGTTGTTGGCTATCTGTAAAGTGTTGTTGCCTGCCTGTAAAGCAACTGAGGGCACAGTCTTGTGGCCCTTCCCAACCATTGCAGCTACATTAGAAGGACTTGAGGCTTGTCTTCTGCAAAAACATTAAAAGGAGGACAAAGAGATGAAAACCATCCCCATTGTTCATTTTGACCTACTAGAAGCAGCCTGGCAGGGTATAGGAATCTTGGAAGGTTGAAGGGTTCTGGCAAGCACGCAACAAGCGAATAGAGCCATGTCCTGAATTTTTTAAACAATTTTACCTATCTTACATTATAACCATCAGTCATATTCCTATAGTTCATGATAA